GGATGAGGCTTTCCCAGTAGAAGGGAATGAAGGCAGTGAGAGAGCAGAACCCTCCAAACCCAAAGCACAAAGCCACCAACAGGTACCTGTTGCAAGTTTTTCTTCATCTCCACAAAGAGATTTATCCTCCACGTCATTTCCAGGCTTTTCGGCATCTTCCAGCACCACGTTTTCCTCCAACGCTCGAGATTTTACCTGGGAGTTTTTTTTGGGGAGAGAAAACCTTTTCAGATTACAAAAAAAAACCCTAGATTACATGGGGAGATGTATTTTAACCTTATATTAAGTCCAATCACCATTCCTGTTAATAATAATAGTTTAACCCAGACATCTGCACCTTGAATTCCCACTTTTGCCAGGGATTAGGTTTTAAAATGCTGCTTTTAATGAAAGAAAAGAATCCTTAATTCCTCCTGCAGTTAATTAGCTCAATATTGGCTTCCTGAGTACTAAACTCAACTTTACCTGCTGTTCATGGTATCCCTTCAGAGCTCTTTTGACATTGGAGACTTTRGGGGAGCGGATGGGCAGAGTTTTGATTTCCAGAGCTGTCAGGGTGCTCAGGTCTCCCACAGTTTTGATGTTCTTGGCTCGGATGAGCTGCCCCAAGCCCCTGGCACTGCAGCAGAGAAGGGAAAATGGGTTATTTTAGACAGTCAGGGAATATTCTGAGCTGGAAGGGAGCCACAGGATCATCAAAATAAAAAGAGGGACCACTCCTGGTCATCCCTGATCCAAGCTTGACAGTCATCAAAAAAGTATTTGAAAAAAATCCAAAAGAGTGAAATCTCTCCCTCACCAAATCACCCCCACTCCTTTTAAAGAATTCTGGCTAAAATCCTGGTTTTGTAKCTTCAGGAAGAATTCATTTTCTACWGGAAYATAACTTCAAAAKMAAGCAGCCACTCACCAGATGTTGGATGTGATCTGAGGTAAAATGACATCCACAGGGGCTTTGCAGCCAGCCAAGGCAGGATACACAAATTCCGTGGGGCAKGGCAGAGATTCCTTGGCCATCTCTGTGATCTGGGAGAACACAGAGGAAGTTTAAATTCACTGTCACACGCTGAATACAGGAAAAAAAAATATAGAAGAGAAACGTGAACTAAAGCACTTCTTACTAAACACTTCTTTGAGCTCTTAAATTTAAGGGTACGAGATCCAGGGGACAGAAATCCTTTGGTTGGAGTGGTAATGTGCTGGATAGAAAAAGAGGAAAAAAATATCTCTCAGGATGGTAGGAATTCAGTTAAGGGTAGGAGTTCAGTTAAGGGTAGGAATTCAGTTAATTTTCAGATTTTAGCCCCTGAAACCTCAGAGTGGGCTCAGAGTAACAGAACAAGTCAGGCTGAAGTGGTTTTKTTTCTTACACTTGTGATCCTCAGCTCTTACAATTGGGAGTAAGTGACACAAACAGGCACTAAAGCCATTGATGATAAATCCTGAATAAATGGGACACATTGAATATTGTAATGGAATTTACCTTGACCTGCATGTTGGAGAGGATTTTAAGACTTCTGGAYGAGGGTGAGGAGTGGGATCTGACCACAGGACTCCTCCTGTCGATGTCATCTGCCAGGCCCTCCTGGAAGATGGGRTTTGCAAAGGAGACCCGACGGATCTGAGGAGAGAAGGAGGTTTAGAGCTGGAAATGAACCTGAGAAATGAAGTCTGAGGAGATAAGAGCTCAGTTAGGAATTAAGTCATTAAAGTTTAATGTGTCCTCAGCTCCAGCATGGGATTATTCACAACAAAACCCACTAATTAAACATATTTGGAGCTATTATAGCTCCTCATCCCAGCTCTGCTCCAGAATGCCATGGCATACCTTGTTAGCAGGGGACAGGGAATCATCCTCCTGGCTCCTCTTGACCCCTCTCTTGAGAATGCTGGTGGATGGGGAKGCCAAGGGGGACCAGGTACGGGTCCCAAGGCTGGTGGGGCTCTCAGTCACCTGCACAGAGGATTCCCCCACTGCCTTCAGCGGGGAATCTGCACTCACGCTCCCCAAAGCTGCATCTTCAGGCACTTTGGTCTCAGTTTCCTCTAATTCCTCCTCCATTTCTTTATCTGCAACATCACAACTTTCTCCTGCAGCGTCCTCAGCTTCTTCTTTCTCCTCCTCATTTCCTTCTGGYTCCTCAATCTCTTTTTCCTCAGCTTTGCTGTCAACACTCAGTTCCTCAGGCACCTCTTCCAGTTGTCCATTTTGACTGATTTCTTCCTTCTCTGCAGTTGCTGGTTCTTCCTGCTGGTTCCCYGTGTCCAGGCAGCTCTCCAGGGGCTCTTCTGGAATGCTGTCAGGCAGAACCTGCTCTGTTTGCTCCTTCTGCTCAGCAGGTTCCTTGATWTCCTCCATGGRCTCTGTGSTTTCCYCTGCTGCACACTCKGTGTTCTCCTCCTCCYCCCCAGTGCTYYCCTGCAGGTTATCCAGAGCCATTCCCTGCCCTTCCAAGCTGAGGGATTCCTTTGGAGGGGGCAGTGGGGTGCTCATTGCACAGGGAGCCAGGGCCAAGCTCTCCTCCAGATCTGAGTTCCCAGACACATTCCCAGGAGTCTGCACTGGGGTGCTCTGGGGCTCCTCTGGCTCTGATTTCTCATTTTTAACTTCACTCAGCTTTGATTCTGTTACCTGCTGCTTTGGCTTTTTAAAGCAGCAATCRCAGCTCTTGATTTTCTTCACCCTTTTGCTTCTCTTGTTTTGACACTCAGGGCTTTGCAGATGGGAGGACTCAGCCCCAGAAATGCTGGTTCCTGGTGCCCAATCCCCCGTGCTGGTTTGCTTCTCCTCCTGTTCCTGTGCTGCCCTCCCCTCCTGCTCAGACATGCAGGGGCTGCCCAGGGACTCCATGGAAGCATCACCCTTGWGCTCCACGCTGTTCTCCAGGGCAGCACCAGCATTCTCAGAGCTGCCAGGTCCCMCAGTCTCTCCAGCAGCTGCAGGAATTGTCTGCTTTTCCAGGCCACACGGCTCAGCTGTCACTGCAGCACCAGAGCTGATTTCAGGCTCACCTTTAGTCTCTTCCTGTGAATTCTTATTTTCGTTTCCCTGAGGTGACACCTCCTGGCTGTGGCTCTCTGGCTGCGCCTCTGATTTCAATTTCCCTTCAAGAGAATCACTTCTGCTCCTCCCTTTCATGTGTTTTTTCTTCTTTGTGCTTTCCTCCTTGCCCTCAGAGCTGTCAGCCTCYGAGTTCTCTATGCTGGACAGCAAACCCTGGGAAGCTCTGCGGGTGTGGTACCGAGGGCGCTCCACCACTTTCTGTCCCACTGAGCTCAGGCTGTCCTGAGCTTCCCCCTCAGCCCTGGGGGAATCCTCTGCCCTCCTTCCCCCTCTGCTCCCCTCCTCATCCAGGCCCCTGGCAGCAGGAGAGTCCCTGCAGCTCAAGTCCTCTGCCACTCTCTCAGCTTGGCTGCTTTCTTTTGTATTTTCTGTCGTTTTCCCTGAAATTCCTTTCTGCTTTTGGGCCCCATCATCTTTACCCTGTGACTGTTTCTTCTGCCCAGTTTTCTCATCCTCTTTCCTCCTGTCTCTCTTTGGGGGCCCATCCTCCCTGTCCTGGCTGCCCGAGGAGCTCTCCACGGTCTCAGAACGTCTCCTGGAGGAGCGGCGGAGCACTTTGTGCTGAGGGGACACGGGTGCCACCGGGCTGTCCTCTGCTGGGGGCTGCTCTGGGGGGCTGCTGCTGCTGCTTGGGGGGGTGTTCTCCTTCAAATCCGTGTCCAGAGCCTTTTCCATCTCGGTGTTCTCATCCTCAGCTTTCCTGCTGTCTGATTCCATGGAGTGTTGAGCTTGGGATGGGCTTGGCAGGGTGTTCTCCACATCCTCTCCAGCAGGGCCTGGCTCAGTGCTGCTCTCCACACTGTCAGGAGCAGGGGACTCCTCTGTCCTGCCCTGGAGTTTGGATTTGTTCCCCTGCAGCTCCATCCTGCTCTGGCGCCGTGTCACCCTGCGGATGGWGGCAGAGCCCGCCTCAGGCTCGGCTTTGGGAGCATTTTTATTTTCCTCTCCACATTTCTCTGCTTTAGCACTGGCTTTGCTGTCACTGCTGCTCTCTGGCGTGGCTGCCCCAGACACCTCCAAGACAGAGTTTAASGGGGCTGGGCTGAAGGGTCTGTTCTCAGCAGCCCCAAATTTCTCCAGGGTGATGAAGGACTGGCGCCGGCTCACGGGCTGGGGGGTGCCTGAGATGATGTCGCTGGAAGCTGAGCCACTGCTGCCATTTGAGGTGTTCTCCTTCCCTGCTGAGCYCTCCTTGGAAGCTGCTTCCACAGAACTCATCTCTGACCCCTCTCCAGTGGATGTTTCTGCTGGGATCATCTCAGCTGGCTCATTTTTKGACTCCTCCTCGCTGTTGCAGGCTRGGCTCTCCTCGGGGTGACYTCCTTCACTKTCTGMATTTTCCTCCTGCCCCAAAAAACAGAAAAATATTTGTCCCATGAATATAATATTCAAACAAAATATTGAAAACAACACACGCACAAGGTTTTCCTAACCACCCTTCCTTCCAATTATTTATTATCTATTGGTAATTATAAAGGACACTTTTTAAAAATCCATTTAATCCCAAAACTATCAAAAAAGGTTTCAAGTTTTGCCAGAGTTATTAACAAACTTGCTGTATTTACCTGGAACTACAGTGATCACAGCAACTGCTSAGCCAATTCCTCTCCAAAAGGAATTGAGGATTTGTAATCTTGACCCCAATAAAATATTGTCACAGCATAGAAACCACTCATATAAATCCTCCCTTTGAAATCAAACACCCAATGACTGGGCCTGTCATTTATAAATTATATAAATATGATTGATATTAATATAAATGATATAAATAAATTATATCAATAAATTATATAAATAAATAATATAAGCAGAACAGATCAGAACCAATGGTGTAATGTAAATTGTCTCTCATCTGGTGCTGAGAATGGAAAACAAACCACCAAAACTCTCGTGTTTTGGTGAAAACTCTGATTTCCAAATCCCCATCAGACAATGGGAAATYACCTGAGGCTTGGCTGCAGTGTCTTCCTTGGCATTTTCCACTGCAGGTGGCACTTCCCTGGAAGAGAATTACTGAAATCAGTGCTGGTGCAAAAGGAGATGCCTTCATGACCAGAGCTGGTGACTTTTACTCACAAAGAATCTTCCTGGCTTTGAGTGTACTGGGAAAAGGAGGTGGTGTCCTGTGATGCATCCAAATTGTTGTACATGGCAGGAATATCCACTCTGGAACAAAACCAGCAATGGGAGGTCAGAATTCATTATCTCCTTATTTCAAGGCCWTTCTTTTCAGCTGCTTTCAATCTTTATTTTTGGGGAATAGAAGCTGTGATTGGGATCCCACTCTGTAAAGAATTCAGCAAGCACTTGACTGCACAATTCCACACGAATTCTGCTCACTCTGCTTTTGCTAAGCATAGAAAACATTTTAATACTATTTTCTCAYATTAAAAAGAGAATTCCAAAGATTCCTTTGCAGTTAAGGTGAGTCTTGGAAATATCCTAATTCCTGATATGCTGCTGACTCAGTAAATCCTTTTATCAGATTTTTTTTCCCCAATCCTTTCACTTCCATGATTTATGAAAAATGACATCTAATTTCACACTGCAAGTGAGTAATGAAATAAAAATCCAAACTCCAAATTCTCAAACTCCAAACAGACTGGGTAGAGTGTGTTCAATCAAATTAGGAAATGCAGTCCCAAGAACAATTTGGTTGCTTTAAAACAGCAAAGCCAGGAACTCTCTGAGCTTTAAACTTGTATGGAAAAACAACACTCAGTGATTTGCAGTGCCCTGAAATGCAGGAAATGAAGTTAAGCCAAGCTCAACTGCTCAATCAATGACATTTCACATGAAGTTTGAMATAATAAATGACAGACCTCTTTGACCTCAGCACTTCTTTTTGATGCTCTGTCAATATTCTTGCTTTTGTTTCTGGAGGAATAAACACAAAATCAACAGATTTCTCCTCTTCCAAAAGTGTGTCACTTGYAGTCTTGGCAGATGAAAATTCCAGTTTCAACTGCAGAAAGATAAAGAATCCAAACCCTGAGTTAGGAACAAGAGAGGAACTGAAAATCAGGAATTCCTGAAGGACATGACCTGTCCCTGTGAGAGAATGGCCAACCCCAAAATTCAACACCCAAAGGGAGGGTTGAGGTTTTGATCTGCCACAATCCCTCCCCTAAAACTCAGCAGAGAATTTGGACAGGAATATTAAATTTGAGTGTGCTGACAGCCTGAGCATCACTAAACTCATGATTTTGTCCTGAGGATCCTGGATTTGATTCCAGGACACCCAACTGGGAACACTTTACCTTTGCAGGGGTTACTTGCACGTTGCTGGACTTGTCTTTCCCATCATTTTTTTGTTCATTTGTCTGTGCCAATATTGAATCTCGTTTTTGTCCCACCTTCACCTCCATTCCACTGATYTTTGCATCCAGCTGGGAATTCTCCATCTATTCAAATCAAAATAAACTGAAGAAATTCCAAACTCACAAACCCACTTTGTGTTAATTTCTGCAATAAAACCATCCCACACTCCCACTTCCCTCTAAATTACAACTTAAAAACTAAATTATTTCAAATAAASTCATAGAACCCAAAATTTACAATGCAGAAAGTGCATTGAACCTGCTCAGTTTGTTGTCAGTGCTAACCCAGCACAGTTTATTATTGCAAACATGAWTCCAGTGCAGATCAATCATATTAAAAATCCCAACTGGCTTTTCATTCCCTGCTGAACAATTCCCATGAAATTGGGGTAATAAAATATTTACTGTGTCAGAGAAGGGACCACTGCACTCCTCAGATATCTCAATGCTTTCAAARCCAGGCAGCAGCAGAGGGATTTTCTTTTTGACTTGGCTTAATACAGACCTGCTCAACAACAACAACAACAAAAACAAACAAACACAAAAAAATAATAATAAAAAAAGAACAAAATAAACAAAAAAAAATTAAATTTGTGGGAGGGGAAAAAGGTGCACAAAAAGAGCAGCGGATCACCCAGCTCCGAGTGATCCAACACAGCTCTTCCTATAAAGATATAAATAATAAAAACACATTTCTTACTTTAATTGCTCAGGATAGGTGAGTGAGGAGGCCTTGGCAAAGGTGGAATTCCAGAATTGGGCACTCTGCTGGCGGAGCTGYTTGTTCCTGTGCTGGAAAGCCACRCACAGCACGGGGCTGAGCTGCTCCAGGAGCTCAGTGTCACACGAGCCTGGGCAGTGACACTGCAGGCACTGCAGGATCTCTGCCAGCAGCTTCTCCAGCTCAGGGAGAACAAAAAAACAGGGGTTTGAACTTAAGTTTCAAATAAAAGCTGCAATATTTGAATTAAAACCTTATTTAACACTATTATTATAGCCCCGAATAAACAGCTTGAAACGTCACTTCACATAGAAGTCAAAGAGCTGAGTGCTCCTTCCCCTCAAGAATAAAAAATTCATTCTTATAAATTAATATTGCAGTTAAAACCTTACTAAACTCTTTATTATTACAGCCCCAATAAACAACTTGAAATGTAACTTCACATTAAAGTTAAAGAGTGCTCCTCCCTCCAAGAATAAAGTATTTATTCTTATAATTTAATATTGGAGTTAAAACCTTATTTAGCTCTTTTTATTACAGCCCAAATAAACAATCTGAAATGTCACTTCACATAAAAGTCGAAGAGCTGAGTGCTCCTCCCCTCAAGAATAAAGAATTTATTCTTATAAACTTATATATTCTTATAAACTTATATATTCTTATGAACCCATTCTCCACCCTCATCCCATTTTGAAATTTATTTCTTTTTAATACAGGAGGAAACTCTGGTGCTCCCACATTTTCCCCAGCCCCAGTGATTTCTGTAGCAAATTTACCTTGGGRTTGAGATTGCTGTAGACTTTGGGTACCTCAGGGAGCCTGCCAAAATAAATAAAATCAATTTATATTCTGTTGTCTCATCTATCCCAAGCACAAAAATTTAACACAAAATCCATTCAAGCACTGYACATTTGTTTTAGTGAATAATTTGATGGAATCATTTTGTGAAATGAGCCTCAGTTGGGTGATTAAACAATTTCCTGATGGAGTTTCCTGAATTATCCTTTAAATTCCACAGATACTCACAAATTTGAAGAGAAATGAATGGAAAAGTCAGGAGTAATCAGTACAAATTAAAAAATAAAGCTTTTTTATGAATGAAGTTCTAATTTCCTTCTTAATGCTCTCCCCAAACACATTTCCCAGGCCACGTAAATATTTGCATTAAAAAGCTGAAGTACCACTAACCAATTTCATATAAATAAATATATTCCATACAAATAAATACACTCCATATAAATAAATATATTCCATATAAAGAAATATATTCCATATAAAGAAATATATTCCATATTTAAAAACTCCTTAGGTACAATTATCCAGAAAAATGTGAGGAAACTGCATTTAGTAACTCCTTTTATTAAGCCTATATTCTCCAAGCTGAAGAGGTTCCCAAATTTTTATTTGYTTCCATATGTCTTTCTTTAAAAATAAAGATCCAACTTCTGCCTTTTCAGGAATAAATTTTAAAAAAAGCATTGCTCAGAAAAGAAACTTTTCCATTTGCATGAATGAATCTAAGGAAAATTATACTCAGGAAAAGAAGCACCAAACCAAGTTTTTCTCAGCATTTCCTTCTGCTGAGGAATTTCTATGATTTGAGTGTACATGAAGTAATAATAATTTGTTTTCTAGAAAATGTCATGAAATTCCTGCCCACTAGGAAACAAATTCCTGTTCATAAATATCTTCACTGCATGGAAAATTAAACCTTTCAGCCTTGCAGAGATGCCAACACAGCCACTCTGAAAAGATCAAAATTCAAAATACGAAGTTTTTTTGAAAACCCTGCAAACCCTGAATTCCAGAACTCCCACCCCACCCTCCAAAAATACTCACTTGGTTTTTTCATAGAACTCTGCCAAGGGCTTGGAAAAAATTGCAAAGGTGGTGCCAATGATGGATGGCAGAGAGATGTGGCTGATGATGGTGTGGAGAGCAGCCAGAAGGGGAGGTCCCACTGACATCAGAGGCTCCAAAGGGATTTCTTTGGAGCTGAACTCGTGGAAAGAGTTCAGCAGCATCAGCAGGAGTTTGAAGAGAGAGGTCAGCTTGCCAAGGGGCTCCTTTTTCTTCTTAGCCCAGTCTGTGGGAGTCTGAGGAGCTAATATTAAAAATTGTATTAAAAAATTGATTTTTTTCCTTAACTAACATTCCTGACAACAAAATACATCTGAACACTGAGTCTGCAAGAGAGGCAGAACTTTGATTCTCAAACTACATCTTCATACAAAGAGTTGAAAATCCTAACAAGACCTAATAAATACATTTTTAATGCTCATTTTTATCATCTCAATACTGATCTCTATTCTTATTTCTATTTATGGCTGGTCAGCCTTTGCTTTTAAGGCTTTAATGCCTATTTGAAAATAAACAAGAATCATTCCTCAGATAACACCTGAAACATAAATTCTACAACAGTCAACAGGAGGGAAGGAGAAATATAAATTTTTATTAGTTTATTTYATAATTTATAATTAATTTATATTATTTTTTCATTAACATTTCCAATTAAAGCATCTAATTCCTTCAGCAGCTCAACACTGCATGTTACTAYTTTAACAAATTCCCATTTGGGGCAAATAACTGTAAATATTTTTTAACTGAGTAAAAATAATATAAATACTTTTTAAAGTACGAATATAGTAAAAATATGGTTTTACTTAGTGCTTTACTATTTTGTAAATTATTTCTTCAGCTTTAGCAATTTTAAGTGGGAATGAGAAATAAAATAAAGAATATTTGATATATGATAAACCTCTGTCTYCTGTTAAACTCTCGTTTTTAACCAAATCTTGAAGTCACACAGAGAAACCYCCAAATCCAAAATTCTTACATCTGGTTTTGGGCTGGAATTTTGTTCCATAGGGTGCAAAATTGATGCAGTCAACCATGACTGACACAACGTGGGTGAGACCTTCCAGCATGGGAAACATCTGAGGAGGAAACAGAAATCCATCATGAGAAACAGAAATCCATCATGACAAACAGAAATCCATCATGAGAAAGAGAAATCCATCAGAAACAAAAAAAAATCAATCATCAGCAGAGTTCAAAAGAGCAAAAATGACAGAAAAAATCATTGTCTGATCAGGACTGCAAAGCAACAGATTTAATTGAAAGGTGGACAAAATTATTCTGCATTATCAGATCAGACATTTTTCAATTACATTTAAATTACATTTCTAAATACAAATATTTACACAATTGAGGATGAGCTTCCCATTCTAACAAATGAGATAAATACAGTGTCTAAAGCAGAAAACAGTGACAGGCAACTGGGAGAAAGGGTCACATTTAAAATAAATTAATATAATTAAGGTTAAAGGGTCACAAACCCTGATTGCCACAGAAGTCACTGCAGGCACAACAATTAAATTGTCATTAACAGTCACAGCAAAATTAGTTTTTAGTGCATTGAAAATGATGCTCAAATTTGCTTTTTTTCCCACTCAATTCATCACAGATTCTTCTAAATAAAGCMAAACTTGATTTACAAGGAACACTGATACTGTGAGCTAAATAAAAAATTCAATATTTAAAAAGTTTCAAGAACTTTAAAATTGTTTAAGTTTGGCTTGTTTAGTAATGATTGATTTTTGAAAGTAATTTGACAAACATCAAAATACAGCAGCATCCAAGGTAAGTTATAATGATGCAATCCTCTAAATTCCACGTTTTCAAACTCCATTTTTTAAATTTGTTTTTTTCACAGTATTTTTTCCACAGTGAACTTCAAGCATGAATAATTTTATGTCTCGAAGTTAACGTTCACCCCAATTCCCTTTGTGGTGTGGCTTTGAGAACAGGTAATTTCAATAATATAAAAGTTTATACAACTTTAGAAATAAAAATTTTACATTTTAATGTACAAGGCTGATGGTTCCAAGCCACATCTCTCCTCCTTCCTAATTTCAATTATGGATTTCTGGTATTTGTGAATCCCACCTGAAGTTGCCAAAATCTAAAAACACATTTCATCCACACAAATCCCATTTATCATGACACTCAATGATTATTATTAATTAGTTAAGAGTCAAATCTAAAGTCTGCTYAAGTATTTGAATATTGAATTATTTTTATAATTAATTTTACTCCCTTCTTTCATTTTTCTACCAACTCCTTTYAGCAAAAAGAATTTCTTAAGTCTCACCAAAACCACACCACAGAAATCACTGCATTGAGAGCTCACAACGAATTTTTGTATTTAATTTCAAAGAGATCTGCTAAATGTATGTTTTATACTCACTACTGGAGTTTCACCTTCTAGCCCAGCTATTATTTTGGCACACAGCTCCTCACAGCACAGATTTTCTTCTGCTGTTGCAACCAGAGCAGAGCAGCGAGCGAAAGCTCGGTACAGGTCCGACCACGTGCGCAACAAGGATTTCAGAGTTGCCTTTAAAAATGGAGAGAAAAAGGTCATAAATGGTAATTTCTGTGCACAGAGAAAAACTTGATTTGTGTTTTCTTCTTCTGAAAAAACTCATATAATTTTTTAGGGGTTTAAATGAGAGTTTTAGGATTTAAATCCAACCTTGGAGCAGCGGTCCAATGCAGAGACACACTGACAGCAAACTCTGAGTTTATCAGGCAATTAAGAGATTTTATAAACCCCACATTATTTTAATTAACTTTACACACTCAGATTTACCTGTGGGAATCCCTGAGTGGGGAAAATGTGGGATACTGGCAGCAGCAAAGCACTGTACACAGCACTGAAGTTGTGCTCCAGGGCATCCCCCTGGTTCACCTCGTTAGTCTGCAACAAGAAGAGTTTCCTGATTAATGAAGCTGCAAAATTGGGATAATAAATATGGTTGTTCCTGATAAATTGTACAGAAGCAYAGTTTAAAATCAGATATTTTGTTCTTTCAAGAGTTCAAGAGGATCCTGCTGCAAAAGGCATAAAAAGCTCTGTTTCTAAATGCCAAAATAACTTAATCCCAAGAATAAAAATAATCTGTGAAAAGAAAACTTATTTTGGTTGCAAAAAGTGATTACACACTTAGAGAATCATGGAATGRTTTGGGTTGGGAAGAACCTTAAAGTTCTCTTAATAAATTCTTACATTTTTAGGTCTAATGACTCCCATGAAGAGTAATTAATTCAACAATTCCTCCATTACAATCAGTGTATTTCCAATAAGCTGCAAAACCTTTTAAATATTAACAGTTTATGTGGCTCTTATCACAGTAAAGATGTCTAACACAAGTAAAACTCTGGTCTAATTACATCCTGAACATCCCAATTTRGGATTTATGATATTTTCACACCAAGCAAATAAACCCATAGTATTTAAAAGTTAACAGTTCCTGGAGAGCAGCTTTCCATGTTTTTTAACAGCAGTGTTGTGCCAATGGTATCTAATTTAACTATCACTTAATTCTTAAAAAAAATCAAAATAAATGCTCAGCACAAAGCTCTCCTGTGGGGCTCTGGGGTTGGGGAAAAGAACCAAAAAGCACTGATTAATTAATTACCTGATTAATCCACTCAGTCAGAGGATTAACAACAATACTCCACATCCTCCAGAGRTGCTCCTTGTTCTCCACTTGCTTGGCATTCTGATCAACAACATTGAGCACAGATTCACTGAAAGCCAGGGCAGAGGTGGGCCCAGACAGCACAAAACCCACCAGGGTTTCCAGAATCACAAAGAATCTAGGCAAGGAAATTAAGAGGGTTTTTTTCAGGTAAAATTAGGAAAAAAAAAAAAGTGATATTTTTTCTAAAGGATGCTGAATACACAAAAAAGCTCCACATACCTTTCATCTGTCACACAGGAGTCCAAGAGGTTATTGTGGAAAGGCAGCTGGATTAAGAACAGAGCTGGAGTTCCCTTGGAAAAAAAAATTAAAGAGGTTAAAACAATGTTTTTCCAATTAAATGGCTGCCTCACCCACACAAGTATCTATATATTGTATTAAACTGAGCCAAAAATTCACAATTATTAATAGTTGTCAAATTGGTCAATCCTAACACATCAAAATAAAAGGAAGAGGGGAACTGGAAACCTGAAACTGCTGCCAGATGCAGGATTTTCTCATTTCCAGATTGCAGCAGGAGATCTTTTGGACAAATCTAGCACAAATTTTTCAGGTGTGCTAATGTTGAGAGTATTTAACAAAATTTATTTAATATCTGCCAATTACAACTCCAACTCCTTCCTACTCAGTCTGCTCCTCTGAACACAAAAATCCCCCAAATTCACCATAATTTCAACCTTTTTTCAGTTTCTTTTGGTGATTATTTTCTAGGTATTTTATTATTTGTTCCTCCCTTCTGATGCAGCACACAATATTCACTAATGGAGTAATTTCAGGGTTCAGTTCATTAATTAAAAGACACTTCAATTATTCCTCAGCTGTGAGGCCTGGAAACAAAGTCTGCATTCTGGAAGATGAATTAATTTGCCTTCCCAACATCCTTCAGCATTAATAAAGTCCCAGAATTAATTCACTTACATTTAAAAGATCCATATCAGCAACCTGATAAGCTGGTGATCCCAATACTTTTGGAGGCAGCTCCTTGACAGTGATATCAATGAGGGACTAAGGAGAGGAAAAGAAAAAAAAAACAAAAATAAATATATTTTTCTGAAGATTTAAGTATTTAAAGCAACACCAGAAATAAAAGCAAAATTGAAACAATTCCCTTCAGTCAAAAAAAAAAAAAACCAACAACAAAAAAATTTCCATCAAGGTCTCCAAACTGTTTTTTGAAGCATAGGAGAATCATTTACCCAACTCTGCTGATAAATCTGAAAATGTTTTTAAAGAAAAACGTACCAGGATTTTCTGCACAGGAAGAGAATTTGATGCCACAATGTTTTTTAAGGCCTGCAGTAACATGGTCAGTATTTCTGAGCCTTGCTTTTCTTTCTTATTGCCTGGAATAAAGAACATTTCCAGTTAGAGCAGAACCAAGCAACGGCCATTCTGAGCATCAAACTTTTAGTGCAAGAGCAAAAAAATTCWGTGTACATTTGTAAACAAATACCTGAGAGAGTCAGGTACCAATTCTGCTCATAACATAACTGAAATTTCCAAGTTTAAATAAAAACCTCTGAGTTTATTTAGTAAATGGAAAATTTCATTGAAGAAAAAAAGTCAAAAACTTCAATTTTAGTATTCACTGAATGCCTCCATTTCTCAGTACTGAAGACCTAAGGTGTTTTTTTTTCTTTTGATATTGCTTTATAAAAAAACAAAATTATTGATTCAGACTAAACCCAAGCAATGAAGGACCAACAATTTATGGTCTGGTCTTCAAAATCAACCTCTGACTGCTGAGCAATGAGTGACAAATGATAAAAAATGACCCTTTTTACCTGCTTCAATTGCTGTTTTTACATATCCATTTATGTCCTTCCAGATAGCATGGAGCAAGCAATCTACAAGATAAAAATGGTTTTGTTCAGTTTGCAATAAAAATATTCAACAAAATTGCAGCTAAATTATAAACTGTGTTAAAAGACAGRTTGTGATTGAAGAAAAAAGTGATTTTAGGTTTTGAGTGCAAGTCAGACCAGTTCTACTCAATAAAATATCAGGATATTAAACAAAACATTTCTTMTATTTCCCTTGCCCACTTGATTTTGCAGTAAATAATCAGATTTCATCACTAAATTCTTACCAGGAACTTCTTTTCCAACTGCAATAAAGCCATCCTGAACAGCATTGATCAGAGTGCTGGCATGTTTACAAAAAAAAGAAGGGCTACTGATCAGTGGGTACTGGAGAGGCTCTACAAGAACAAAAAAACAYATTCCATAAACCTGTTATTTTGCAGTTTACTGGGAAAACAAGCCTTAAAAATCATCAAGTACATACGTGCTTAGAGCATTTAACATAGAAAAAAAATCTCATCTTTAAAGTTRTAAATGTTTAAAGCGTTTCATTTCAACAAAATTTGTGATTATGCAAATAAAAAAATAAAAAAAAAGTTTAACTTATATACCTAAACTGAGCACAAGTTTGTTTTGCTTAGCAAAATCAACAACTGCTGGTCCCATGAAGAAGTGGAGCAGCATTTCAATGCCCAGGAGTTGGATGGAAGGGAAGAGCACTGCTCCTGCTCCTGCTCCACTGCTGTTCAGGGCCATCCTGGGTGTGGCTGGGCTCACAAACAGCTGGGCACCTGAGGGAGGGGACAAAAGGCACAAAAATATATCACATTTCAGGGAAAAAAAGATCCACCCGCCCCAAATCTCCCAGGAAAAGGACAAATCATTGAGSAGTGTTGGCTGAAAGGCTCCACTGACAGCAGGTTCTGGTTTACCATCACATCCATGTTTTTTTCCAAATATAAATATTCTACCCAAAACTGCAAACTCTGGGACACCAAATTTTATTTTGGCCACATAAATCTCCATGGTTAAAGCTGTGGTTACACAGTCATTAAACAATTCAAAAAGTTGTACAACTGCTACAAAATAATTCCCACTGGAAACTTTCACATGGAACACAGATTTAAGAGGCCTTGGCAAAACRTTTTGACCAGCTAAGCTGTGATTTCACAGGATTAAGATGATCATTTTAAAGAAGGGAACAGAGGAAAATCCCCACWTCCAGRACATTCTTGAGGCTCCTAATTAYACCARYCTAGMATGGCACAAGCCATGGATGCCAGGMTTSYATAAAGGGAAGAAAAAGCAGGAGTYGATCAAAAATCAACTCCAAAATCAYTGATGGATCATCATCACTGGGTAGGTTTAGATGGGATATTGGGAACTGGGAATTCCTGGCTGGGAGGGGCTGGGATGGAATTCCACCCCTGGATCCCTGGAAATGCCCAAGGTCAGGCTGGAATTGGGGCTTGGGGCAGCCTGGGACAGTGGGAGGTGTCCCTGTCCTTTCAGGGGACAGGAGATTGGAACTGAAATGATCTTCAAGGCTCCCTCCAACCCAAACCATCCCAAGATTTTATAACAATTCAGGCAGAAACTAAAAATACTCCAGAAATAAAAGGGCACCTACAAACAGCACATATACAAATACATGCAAACATTAATTTAATCCAGTATCAATCACTACCTCTGAGTCCTGGAATAACCATATGGAAAAAATCACTATTTTCAATAATAATAATCAATGAAAAAGCAAAAATGTGATAAACAGATGTGTCTCTGAATCTAAAATGTAGCTGGAAAGGTGACCAGGTTGATGTTTCAGTACCTGATTTCTGCCCAGGGGTTGTTGGGCCCAGGCTGGGGGTGTTTGGCAGGCGAGTGGGAGTTCCTGGGAATGCAGCAGGATCCAGGCTCAGGGTGCTCTGGATTAACGGGACACAAACCTGCAAAAGGATCCCAGCCCAGGAAAAACAGCTGTAAAACATGCAAACCACAAAGCACACATTTCAAATATCCCACACTGGGCTGCTGSTCACAAATCAGAATTAGAAATGGCCAACTCAACTAAAACTCCTGTTAAATACAATACAGTTGACCATCCTAAGAAAATACTTTTCTCTCCCTTTACTCCCATCCTCAAACTTAATTTAATGAAATTCAGGTGTTGAACAGAAACATGTTCATTCCAGCACAACTGAAATACTTGGATCATTTTCCTTTCTATCTTCATAAATATTTATGGTCTTTTCAGCAGTTTTCAGGCTGCTCTCAGCTCTGTTACCTGCTCAAAGTTTGAAGGCAGGTGAGGTCCCAGTCTCATCAGCAAATACCACCACACCTCCAGCTTGGTCAGTGCCAGAGCCTCTGTCCTCACATGGATGGAGCTCAGTGGCTGCATCAGCAGTTTCAGCCTCTTAGCACTGCACAGGATGTCTGGAAGACAAAAAAACGTGTATTTTAAGCAATACAAATTTAATTAAATAATTTTAAATAATTTTTATTATGCTTTTTCCAACTGTATTTTACCTAAAAATTCAATTAGTGCTAATTTGCAAAACTCAGACACACCATCCTTTCAGACTATCTCACTGCTCTAAATATTATCTAGAATAACTCTGGAAAAATCAAGTATTTCTTTTTAACACCAGACTGAAATTAAATTTTCTCAATTCCAACCTGCTTGAGAAAGGAGGTTGGAACAGGTGACCCAACCTGACCCATTCTGGAATTMTGTGATAAACAGGAAGAAATTCCCTCTTGCTTGCTCTGTTAGATCCCAACTGCCCCAGGGGAAGGAAAATGAAAGTTTTTTCTTCAGAACAGAGAGAAGCACAATCAAGGTAAAAAAATATTTTGGTACAGGGCAGACTAAAAACTTGTCCAGGTCGAGGTTACACCTTTAAAACAACTTTTTTTTTAAACACCTCTGGAATCCTGAACATTGCCCTTGTCCAGTTAAACCCCACATTCCAAAAAAAAGTTATACAGAATGTTTTATTCTCTATTTCGTTGCTGTTTGGATCAATTACAGCACCACAAAACACGATTTAATAATTTTATTCTGTTCCTAGCAGAAAATTAAGATAGACTAAGATAGATTAAGATRGACTAAAATAGATTAAGATTTAATAATTTGAATGATTAAATTATCACTTTGCCTTAAAAAGAAAAAACAAAACAAGGCAAAGAAACCCAAAAACTTCAATTTTATTTATGTGTGTATCCAGTGGTATCTACCACAGCACTGACCACTATGAAATATTCTTAATATTCTCTCCCAGTTATGTAAAGTGACAATAAGCAAAACAATTCAGATTATTTTTTTCAATCTACCTGGATTTAGAGCAAAATTATCAATGAGGCTCTTCCATGCAATGAAGGCAATTTTCTTCACCACAGGGGAGCCACTCCTGAATCCCAGCTCCTCCAACTGCAGCAGGGAATTGATGAAGCTGCCACTTCGATGCAAAGTCTGAGGAGGAAAAATTCAAAATTTAGAGATTTATGCTGCTCAAAACTCCTTTTTTAAAGATTCCTGATTGCCTTTGTGCTCACCTTGCCAAGCAATCTGACAAACAGGGGCCACAGCTTTAACACGAAGGTCTCGTTTTTTGTAGAAAAYAATTTCTGAAGTTCGGAAATTAATTTCTGCAGGCAGAAAGAAACAGAATTTCTACAAGAAATATATTTAAAATAATCTGAAAATGACACACTCATATCGATTCTGGAGACATAATCAGCATGTTCCCTCATCAGGATTTAATTCTGGTCCACAGAGCATTTGCTACCACCTGATTCTCTTTTTTGTTGGAATTTATGGTTGTTATTCTGACAGTGCCAACCAACAGATCAAATTCCACTGCTTTAAATATTTGCTCTGCCTCTAACCCTAAAGTTAAAACACACTCTGACCCTAACCACCACCTTGTTTGGTCGGGATTTTTGGTTTTTTTTCAGCAGGGAATATGGCAAAATAAATAAGCCAATAAGTCCAGAGTTCTGGGAGTGCAGGGGAACATAAAAAGCTTCATCAAAAACACCAAGGGGCTGCTGGAAAGGATGGGGAATCTTAATGGACATGGAAAATGCTGAGTATCCAACACTTTCCTGCCTCCATCTCCACTCTGAGGCCTCCCAACTCTATCTGCTGTCACATTTTTACAGTCCTATATTTACATTTCCATTCATTTTTTCCATCAAAACCACTGACATCAATCAGAAAATCACATGAATACCCCAAACTCCCAAAAACCCCAGTTCCTCCTGGAGCAAAAGATCAGCTCTGGCACTCACTGTGGTCATCAGGTGCTCGGTGACAGCAGCCACCTCCTGCTGTTTCTGCAGGAGCAGTGGCATTCCCATCTCCAGGGCAGTGGCACCTCTTAACTGCACTTTGTGAGCAGAGTGGACAACCAGAGGGATGATCAGCTTGGCCCACCTCACAGCCTCTTCTCCCATCTGGGCTGGAGTTTGYTCCATTAAGCTGGATCCCAAAAAAAACCCAATAAAAATAGGGATTACACATCTCAAACAGACTGCTCAGGCACTCAAATTATCTTTATCTAATCAATATATGCTGTAATTCAACCTATAATTATAGGAAACCTTTATAATCAATTCTATTTTGAAATTTTATTGAAAACTGCTGCCTTTCAAGTTATTAAAGCCAGAGGAAAAGCACTATTCCACTTTCAAATGGATTTGCAGTTCAAACCAGATGCCACAAGTTAAAGAKAATACTTAAAGAAGAGTAAAGATACAAGCTCAATGTATTTATTAATACAGAAATTAAATTAATACTATATAACGATAAAATTGGAATATTTTAGTTCTGCTGAACCAAAACAATGTGTTCTCAGTAATGGTCATAAAAAGTCACCTTTGGAATGAGAATTTCAACCATGTTATGGGAAACATTGCACTAAAACATGCTGGCAAGGGGGCATTTTCAAATAAAACCCCAAATAATGGCAGAGATCTCTCAACCAGGCAGGTTCTGGAAACAAAATATAAGAACATGCCTTGGGAAGCACAGGTGAGACTKGGGAAATAATTCCTTAAAAGCCATTAAAACTGAGAGCAAGGCTTTCATCTGAATATTGCCCAATTTCTGCATCAGCATTATTGTATTAACAGTAATCTTTTACATTTCTAATAACACACAAAACAAGYARTGCACAGTGCAACTGCTCCCAGGCACTGCCCAGCAGYTCCCCAGTTTACATCTGGGCACAATTCCATATTCCAGGGAATATCCCCTTGGATCAGCTGGCCCAGCTGTGTCCCCTCCCAGCTCCTTGTGTCCCCAGGGYTGGGCTGAKAAGCTGCCAAGTCCTTGACTTGGAGCAAAMACTGCTCAGCAGTAACAAAAACACCCCYGTGTTATTAACATTCCTCTCATCCCAAATCCAAACCACAGCACTCAGCAATCACCCCCAGCCTTYAAAACCAGGACAGCACTGGAGAAAAACAGTCCTTAATACATCCAACAATTCAAACAGCATTACAAACCTTTTTTTTTTTAATATATTTATGGTTTTGTATGAAGAGTTTTCCCCTCAAATTAAGGATCACAACTGAAGAACACTCACCGTATAATGACATTAAGTGCTTCATATTCMACCACAACAGATTGTACTTCTCCTTTAGTCAGGATTGTTTCCAGGGTAGAAAGGATGTTGGACACCTGAGGAAACAAGTGAACAGCAGAGTGAGTACCTGGATATAAATAATGCCATGTGCAGGTGCAATTATGGAACTCCATTTTCCAGGATTGTGGTTGGATTATGCCAAGTTTTGTTTTAAATTGGAATATTTATAAACTTTCTCCACTGTGCAATTTCACTGCTTTCTGATAGAATWGCTCAGATTGCATCTTCCTCAAAGAAAGCAGTAATTTCTGGCTCAAGTTTGCCAAGAATTGATAATTTTATTCTCAGATTTGATGGGAAATAATCTTCACATTCAAAAGCCACTGAATGGAGAGTGACCAAAAATTTGCCTCCTCTCCCTAGGAAATAAATCCACAAAAAGAAAAGTGAAGCAACTCACTCCTTTTTAACAATTTCTGAAACCTCCTCGGTGTGAAATGAGGCCAGTGAAATAAAAGTGAAGAAACTCACCTCCTTTTTAACAATTTCTGAAACCTCCTTGGTGTGAAATGAGGCCAGTGAAAGAAAAGTGAAGCAACTCACTCCTTTTTAACAATTTCTGAAACCTCCTCGGTGTGAAATGAGGCCAGTGAAATAAAAGTGAAGAAACTCACCTCCTTTTTAACAATTTCTGAAACCTCCTCCGTGTGAAATGAGGCCAGTGAAAGAAAAGTGAAGAAACTCACTCATTTTTAACAATTTCTGAAACCTCCTCCGTGTGAAATGAGGCCAGTGAAATAAAAAGTGAAGAAACTCACCTCCTTTTTAACAATTTCTGGAGGAAATGACTGCTTAGAGATGACCCAAAGTGCCCGAGTGCGAGTGTTCTTGTCTGAGGATTTTACAGCAACACTGTTCACTGTTGACAGCAGGTCCTGGGTCTCTGTGGCTGAAAGCAGAACACACAAATCTCCAAATCACAAATGTTCATCACAGTCCAGGTCATTCTGCTCACTTAACACTGCCCAGGAGTCATTCAGCCACAAGTTGCAATGATTTATTGTCTCAAACGTTACTTTGGAGCAGTTACTCTCCCAATGAAGTAGGAAAAAAGCTGGAAATTTATTAATATACAGATATTGATAATGCAGAATGTCTGTATTACCCTACAGAACTGGAAGATAACTTTAATTAAATACACMAGAGCTAAAGATTAAATAATTATTCAAAACTTCTTGGATTTCAAGCAAATTTAGCAGCACTTTGGTCAATCTCAATAAATTTATTTTAGGGTCTACAAGAGGTTTTATTATTAAAGGTGGTGGTAAAATTATAACTCACTATGTAAAAATTAATAAGGTTAATATAGGATTTGCAACCAGCTAGGAAAACAGATGGAGAAATCATGTGTTCCTTTAAAATTCAAGGGTAATAAGTCTGATTTATCASAAATTTGCACTTTGTGGGTGAATGAACCCACAATCAGAGAAATGTAAAGACACATTTACTCCTTTCCCTTGACCAAAAGTACACACAAAGGTACAGGAGCTGCTTGTCCTCCCTCCCTCTCCATTGTTCTCAGAGCTGTGTTATTTCTGGAGCCTGACATTCTGTAACAAAACTGACCCTAATTTATCAACTGGTTAAAAAAAACCAGTGAGTTATGAACAAAAGACATAGATATTATTGGAGATGCTTCATTCTTACAGGGAATCAGGGGAAATCTGGCACAATAGGAAAGCAAAACACTGAAAAAATTGAGAACAACCAAAAGAACCAATTTGAAACACAAAAAATGCCCTCTTCCCTGCTCCCAAAACCCTGTGGTTTCACCTTGAGGCAAAGCCTTCAGTTTTTAGCAACAAAACCTTTTGTAAAAGGGATTTAGCACCTTCTAAGAATGCAGTCACAAGATTTAGATTAATTTGAAATATTTGGGGCTGGACTAGATGMACTTTAATGGTCTCTTCCAACTCAAACCACTCCATGATTTGATGGAACAAYGAGAAATCTCCAAGTAAAAGCTGGAAAATGTGGAAAAGCATCACTGTGCACACACAAATCCTACAAATAGGTTCTTCACTCTTTCCCCACATCATCTTCTTCTGTCTGCTAATTCCACACAACCAATTACTGCACTAATTGCTACCAAAGTGTTTAATGAAACTAAAGTTAATAAAACAGGATTAGTGTAAGAGCACAAAAAATTATCACCATAATTCTGTACAAAATGTAATTAATGAACTGATCACACTGCTGATATTAAGAGACAAAACCAGGCCAAAATTAAAATAAATGCTARAAAGGACATAAAGAACTCTGATGTATATATTTTTACTCCCAGTTTGTTTGCTTACCAGATAATTCAGCTGTGTTATTTGAATTAAAAGTGCAGAACCCCACTGCCTGCAATGCTGCATTACTGAGCTCCAAGTTTGGACTCGAAATGTGTGCCTGGAAAAAAATAAAAAAAACAAAACCAGAATCTCAGGTTATCAGGAATCTCTGCAATTTAGACAACTTTATTGAAGTAAATCCTAAACATCCCAAGTTCTTCCCYTTGGCTATGTATGTTATGTTCTATCTCATGACTCTACAATTGTTTTTAAACTCCTGAAACACAAGGAAAAATTGGCTACGAACAATCTTTACATTAATCCTTAAAAAAACTTGACATTTACTGCATTTTCTGAATTCTGAAGGGTTCCTAAGGCAGCCACAACACCCAATCTCTTCTGGCTGGAAGATCTGACTGTGGCACTGCCTGAACACATCCAAGACCCTGCTTTTTTTTCCTGCATTAATTTTCCATCTGTTTTACAAAAAAAAAACCTCTTCCTGCTCTGTCATTACCCTGCATTCCTATTAAAGGCTGGACTCCATGATGCTGGAGGTCTTTTCCAACCTCAATGATCCTAGGATTACAAATGAAATTAAATTTGAGTCTTACAATGCCCACCAAAATATATCTTTGTTCACTGAAGTGCAGAGAACTGAATGGACAAACACACCTTAAACACTTTGCAGAGTTGAGGGAAGTGTTTCCTGATTTCTGCAGTGAATGCTTTGCCTCCTTCACCAGTCAAGCGACTGCAAGAATGGAAAAGAAACAATAATTACAAGTTAAACACACTATAAATGACATAACATTCATTTTCTGACACACAGAAGGCTATTTTCTTGAAGAAAATTGATATAACACCAAAGAAATTTAAGAGCATAAATGCCACCACATGGCAGTAAAATATTGTGTTATAGTACAATGGAGAAAGTGAAGAGAATAATGATTCACTTTCTGCTTAGAGAATATTTATAAAAACATTAAGGCTTTCATTTTTTTGGGTCAACTTCTATAGAAACATTACAATTTAGCATGGAAACTTTAAATTACTTTCTACAAATCAGAAAAACAGAAATAGAGGAGCTGAAAAAGCACATTCCTCAGGAGCAGGACAATCCTGGTTTGACAACCAGCAAGGACGTGAGGAACATCCACACCACAGAGTTGTAATTATCCCATAAAATGTTAATCATCAGTTTCTCACAGCAAAACCCAAACAGTGGTAAGTTCAGTCATCCAGGGATAACCTGAGAAACCTGTTGCTGCTGAGTACTTACATCAGGACTTTTTTTTTTGTTGTCAGTTATTTCTAGAAACCTGTAAAATCTGGTATCTGAGCAGTTACAGCTTTAAAAGTCACTGCAGAATAGAAGGGCAGGAACTCAAGGGAGACACTGAGAGAAAGAGATCTCATRCCTCTGCACATGATAAAATTGGAAAGATGCAGGTAAAGGCACAAACTCATGGGGAAAATGCGCCTTTCAACAAGAAATGCGATTCAAACAAGCCRCGATCGCTCTGAGAAATACAACTAAAAACTTCACCCTTCCAGCCATAAAGCTGCAACGCAGTTCCTTTTTTTGTCATCAGATGAAAGTTATTATTTTCCAACATTCCTTTCATCCACCCCTGATGATTCCCCGGGAAATGCAAGAGGGGAGGGAGGCTCTGGGATGCGCAGACCCGGTGAAGATGCACTCCTTCCTCCCTCCTCTTCCTCTCCTTCCTTCCATCACTCCTCCCTCCTTTCCCGACTTCCTTCCTCCTCTCCCTCCCCCCAGACCCGCATGTCTCCCCCGCGGCCACGCCGTCCCCAGCCGGGGCAGCACCTCCCCGTTCCGATCGCCCTCCCGGGCCTCTCCCTCACCGTGCCCGCCGTGCCCCCGCCGGGCCGAGCCCTCAGGCCGCCCTCACCCCCCGGGCAGCGTGCGCGTCCCCCCGGCGCTCACCTGACGATGGTGAGGTGCGCGTCCGTCAGCTCTCCCGGCGGGGCGGCGGGGTCCTCCAGGGTGTGGAGCAGCGGGCCGAGG